GCTTGAGAGATTCGGGATGAGTGGTGCTAAGGCCGTTAGCACACCGTTAGCTAGTCATTTCAGATTGACTAAGGAGCGGTGCCCCGAGACTGATGAAGAGAATGAATACATGGTTAAGGTTCCTTATGCTTCAGCCATCGGAAGCCTTATGTATGCCATGGTATGCACGAGACCTGACATTGCCCATGCAGTGGGAGCAGTGAGTAGATTTATGTCAGATCCAGGAGAGCAGCACTGGGAAGCAGTGAAATGGATTCTTAGATACCTGCGAGGTACGATAGATGACTGTTTATGCTTCAGAAGAGGCAAGTTAGTTCTGCAGGGTTTTGTTGATGCAGACTATGCTGGTGAGATAGACCAGAGAAGAAGCACTACAGGATACGTATTCACTTTGGGCTCTACAGCTATTAGTTGGATTTCTCAGTTGCAGAAGATCGTTGCTTTATCAACGACAGAGGCTGAATATGTTGCTGTGACAGAGGCAAACAAGGAGATGATATGGTTGCAGGGTTTCTTGGAGGAGCTAGGACAGAAGAGTGAGAAGAATGTCTTACATTGTGATAGCCAGAGCGCAATTCATTTGGCAAAGAATCCCGCTTTTCATGCAAGGACCAAACACATACAGGTCCGCTACCACTTCATAAGATCAGCGTTGGACGAGGACATGTTGGAACTTGTGAAGATTCAAGGAAGCAAGAACCCAGCTGATATGCTTACCAAGGTTGTCACTACAGAGAAACGGAAGTTGTGTTCAACTTCAGTTGGCCTCAGCACTTGATGATATGGAGGCCGTCGCCGCAGAGAAAGCTGAAAGAGATTGATAGTTAGTCTCCAAGTGGGAGATTGTTAGGATATGTAAAGCCTAACTATCAGATATGCCATATGCTTTAGAAGAGAGGAGGAACAAAGTTGGAACAGGAGGAACATGATCGACGACGACGAAGTTCAAGCAAAACGACGAAGAAGAGATTTTACAGCTTTGCGGTCGACCGACAATGGCGCGACGGTCGACCGCCTATGTGCACAGCTGGGTGCACAGGCCAGGAGCTCATCGTGGTCGACCGCCTGTGGCGCTGCGGTCGACCGCTCAAAGTCCAGAGAGCAGGCCAGAGTTCTGTCTTCGTCGCGGTCGACCGCACATGGCGCTGCGGTCGACCGCCCAAAGTCCAGAGAGCTCGATCAGGAATAGGATTCGTCGCGGTCGACCGCACGTGGTGCTGCGGTCGACCGGAGTCGGGTTTTGGCCCAGTTTCGAATTTTAACCTGTTTTGTTCTGTTTCCTTTTTTATTGGTTAAACCCTTAAGTCTATAAAAGGGTTGGCTAGGGCATGATGTATTGAGACGAAAATTAGTGAATTTTTCTCCTGCGGCGGCCGTGGACGTAGTTTCTCACATTGAGAAGCGAACCACGTAAATCTTGTGTGTTTGTGACTGTTTGATTTTCTCTCTCTCTCCTAAATCTCTATTTCCAAATCGCATCAGGGGGGTGGTAAATCCCCAACAGGGTTCAAGTTGAGTAATTTTTCAATTCTATCAGTTGTTCGAATTTTCTCTATAATTTAGAGTTAGCAAGCAATAGCAGGAAATAGTGGTGAAAGCAACAAGGCTACGACAAGTACAGTTCAGGCTGCACTTCAGAATACGAAGATCAGTGTTGTGAAGTATGACAGCAATATCAATTTTGGGTTGTGGATGAGTGATGTGCAGGATACTTTGAATGCTTAGAACTTAGAGAAAACCATCATGGTCTTTGAGAGGCCACTGAAGTTTGATGAGGCGATATGGAACAAGATGAATCGAAACGCTTGTGGGGTAATAAAATCTTATTTGGAACAAGAGAGAAGAACAACCAATGAGTGTAATTCACAAAGAACGGTACAAACCAATCACAAACACAGAGATTTACGTGGTTTGGTAAATTGCCTACGTCCACGGGGAGAGAATGAGGAGTTTTCACTATATAGAGGAGAAAAACAATATGTTACAACTCTCAAACACTCAAAATAACCCTCACCAAAAGATCTCAACTCACCTCTCAGAAATCTCCCTCTCAAAGTGCTCAAAACAACATTTTTCTCTCTAAAAACCTCTTCTAAAACGTTCCATATATATAGAAACCCTAAAACCAAAACAGACTAAGAATCCAACAATTCTAAAACCAAAACCAAAATAGACTAGAAATTCCAATAATTCTAAAATCAAAACCAAAACAAACTAGGAATCTTGTTTGGCCCAATAACTTGCTACCCATCATATAGATTACCTATAATCAACAACGATCTTTTAATGTCTAACGGATAATTTTAGGTTAAAATTCAGAAAACGCCCATGAGCTATAGTTTTTTTTCCTTTTAAATTTAAAGAAAACTGCTATAAACTTGCAAAATCATTGAAGAGACCCCTAAACTTTAGGGTGTTCCACAAATCCGACTATTTTCAGATATTTGAATATGTCTATTGATACTTTACTTGCATTTCCTATCTTCAATGTATCCTACCACAAAATCAAAGTGTCTTTTCACCTATATACCGAGTTCAAACTCAGAAAGGCCATTGTGGTTTGCGCTGTAAATCTATTAAGCCCACAGACTATTATTTGGATCTATTAAGTCCCTATGCTTTTTATTTTGAATCTATTTAGCCCCTATGGTGTTTCTTCATAACTAAAAAAGAGTATTTTTGTCTTATTGAATCTACTTTTTAGTTATGGAGAAACACCATATGGGCTAAATAGATTCAAAATAAAAAGTATAGGGGCTTAATAGATCCAAATAATAGTCTGGGGGCTTAATAGATTTATGACGCAAACCATAGGGGCCTTTCTGAGTTTGAACTCCCTATATACCTCTCTAGATATCATATTTGAATACAGCTTAAACCTGAGAATTTCCGTAGTCAGTGCCAAGTAGAGTGCTTAGCGTATTTGTAGTTTTTTTTGACAGTCATAATATTTTCCTCTAATAAAAATGATTAATGCTAGATTTCTTTTCACAAAACTGTTTGAAAATTTACCTCAAATTACTCTAAATTTTTATTTTGGTCAGATAAAAAGCCTGCTTGGTATCATTGTTTTTGGGCTGCTTTTGGTTTTTTTAAGAAATAGTAAATAATGATGTTTGGTAAATCATTTTGCATGCTTATTGAAACTATTTGTACTTTTAAGAGGTGCTTTATTTTAAAAAGCTTATATAAGAGTGAGAATTCTAAACACCTATAATAGGGCTGATCTATATCATTTACGGATGGATAGATGGTTAGTTCCGGAGTTTCGACTATTCTATTTACAATGTGGATTACCTCACTCCTATAGAGTTGGTTCTGTTAGGATCCGTACAAATTATATATGCAACCAGTAGGGATCCTATCAGAACTATCCCTATAGGAGTGAGGTAATCCACACCATTGATAGGGTACCCTAATTCTCAAACTGACCGTCTATCCACTTGTGAATGGCATAGATCACCCCTTTTATAAGATTATTCTCATAGAATCCTTAGTTATAAACAATTTCTTATAAAGGATTAATTACAAGCCATACCTTGAGGTATCGAGTAATTTCACCAACAATCCTAGAGTTTGTGTATCTAGTCCAGGAACCTCGGAGTTGTACATGTATGACCCTGTTATAGTATTTTTCTCCAATAAAAATAATTAATGATATATATATTTTTTGCCGATCTCTTAGTTTGTACATTTTCCTCAAATTACTCTAAATTCTTATTTTGGTTAGACAAAAGGCCAGCTTGGTATTGCTATTTTAGGTTGCCTATGCTTTTAAAAAAAATAATGAATAATGGTGTTTAGTAAATTTATTTTACCTGTCTTTTAAAACTAGTGCTACTGCTTTTAGGGGGAATGTTTTTAGAAGAAACCTTAGAATGCTTTTTACAGAACTTTTGCGTTTTGTAGTTTTAATATCATATATACCATTTAGATTACATTATTATCTCATCTATCCTACATTATCTCGTCTATTTAGATAGCTTCAGTTATGACTATTTTTGTCATTTCACTTATAATGATCTTTAAATAACTTAAAATTTAATCAAATAACTTGCTACAGTTGAAAATAGTTGATGACATATAGTTACCAACAATCATTTTTAATGTCTTAGATAAGAATAAGGATTCTATCCCCTATGGAAAGGGATGATATATACCATTCATGAATGGTTAAAGGGCTAGTTTAGGAATTACGTCTCTTCTATTTATAGTATAGGTTACCCTACTCCTATAGAGGTGGTTCTAATAGGATCCATACAACTTATGTACGTAACCAGTATGAATCCTATCAGAACCATCTTTATATGAGTGAGATAATCCACACAATTGATAGAGTTCTCATTATTCTTAAACTAATACTCTATCCACTCGTGAATGATATATTAGGTGTTCTCATAAAATCCTTACTTATAAACAGCCTGTTACCAGGGATAATTACCATTCGATTTGATACCTTGAGGTATCGTGTAATTTCACCGGCGATCCTGAAGTCTTGCGTATCTACACGGGGTACCCTAGGATCATAATTATAATTACATGTATGGTCCTAGAGTTATCCATATAAATACAATCAATAGAAAAATACCTTAAGGACCCAAAATATGGGACCAAAGGAGGGGACATGTGAGATGCCCCATCTCTATTACATAATGAGCTGATATGACCAGCTCATTATGCAATAGAGATGACACACCTCACATGTCCTCTCCATTGGTCCCATATTTTGGGTCGTGACCAGCTCATTATGCAATAAAGAAAGGACAACTCACATGTCCCCTCCTTTGGTCCCATATTTTTTGTCCCAGTAATAACACACCAATCAATACCTTCAGGATTACTTTTATGGGTATACGTGATACCTTAAAGAACTGGCTCGTAACTAGTCATGTTATAAGCTTCTGGCCCGTAGGCCCTACACAGAGTGAATGAAGGTGAAAGTAGTCGGAAGTACATCTGGTGAGTTCCATCGCTTACCGCCAAAGAGGAAAGTAGTTGGTCTTCCCATATTTTTCCGCTCCTTTTCTTCGTCACCTTCTTCTTTCTCTCATCAGAAAAAAAAAGAATAAAAAGAAAAAGAGAAAAAAATGAAGAAATCCCCTGGCAATCTTTTGGATTCCGAGTTCTTGGTTCATCGCTTCTCTTTCCTCTCCCTTCTCGTCCTCAGCTCTCTTCCAGGTACCAAAAGATCCCTTCTTTTCCTCTTCTTCTATGTTTGACCTAGCCAATTTCTTCCCTTTTCGAGGTATTTCAGAAATTTGGTCGGCTACTGATTAATTTAGTGTATTGTTGGTATATTTGGGTAATTTTGGGGAATTGGAAACCAGGAAAGTTTTTTTTTTCTTTTTTCAGTTTTTATTGAAAGATTTCTCATAACAGGGGTAAGATTATGACGTTGATTACTGATTTAATTGAGAACCGGAGATAGCTTGTTGACCATTGGCTTTCTGTATGAGTTAATATGCAGCACGAATTTCGTAGAATCTTTGAAATGGTTGTTATGAATCGGAACTCCTACGGGCGAGCGAGAAAACAAGAAAAACAGAAAAAATCAATTGCAAAAGACAAAGATTTTTACATGGTTTGGCAATTTGCCTGCGTCCACGGCGGCACTAGGATTATTTATTATTTTTTCCTCATAAAGTTACTATTATAAGTGAGCGTGCCCATATATATAGGTAGAGACTAGGGCTACAGGCATGAAGAAGTACAGATTTATGTTTATCCATAGCATATAATTTTCGGATCCGTGAATGGGGGGTCAGCCTGCACAGTCTAATCAGACACTGCAAATCGAACAGTGGTTACCATGGTTCAAAATGGATATGGTGATGTTTCATTGTAATGTAGAAGAGTGCATGCTGCTTGGCTCCCTGGGGTTTTATGGTGCCTTAAAGATGAAATTAGTTCTTTAAGGCCATATGTATATGATTATCTTTCACTCTGGAGGGTTGTGCATCTCCTGTGTGCATAGTCGTAGATTTAGAGTTTAGGAATAACTTAGTGAGCTTTAGAAGTCTAGAACTTGGAAAGATTTGACTCGGGCACTTCAGTGTTAGTGTGTGATAGGAATCGCTTATTTACATATTTGGTTATAGAAGACCACCAGTTATGATCAATTAGGAATAAACTCAGGTTGCAAATTGTGTAAAAATTTATTGATGTTCATTACAATTGAAGATTGTCTACTGTTTTCATCTGACAATCTCGTTATTGTTATTGCTACTATCACTTTTGCAGGAATTTCGTCATCCAGGGTTGTTACTCTTGGTTCAATTGAAATCTTTAATACTCATGAATGGCTACCTACAAGACCAACTATATATTTTAAGTGCCAAGGAGGAAACAAGACGGTTCTACCTGATGTGAAGAAAACACACTTCTTATATGTTTTCAAAGGTGAAGAGTCATGGCAGGTTTGTTTTTCAATATGACACTATAATGAAAATTTGATTCAGTTTGGTGTATTTGAGGCACATTAGCAACTTGATTGTTACTTTTATTATTACTACTATTATCTTTGTGCAATGAAACTGAATAA